GGGGGGTCTTTCACCGCTTCAGCCATGAAGATTCCGAATGCCGCGTACATGAGCACCGGGTGCCAGAAGAAGAGAGGCACCTCTGCACACAGCACAGCACAACACAACACATGACACCATAATACACCCAACACAGGAATGCACGCGGGCGTCGTCCCGCCCATCCCGCACCGCACCCCCCAGGCCCTGCCATTTTTGCTTTGCTTACTCTCCCATCCCAGTCCCTTGCCGTTGATCTCAAAAGAGTACGTCCACACCAGGATGAACACCAGAGGCGCCCAGATGAACAGGTGCTGACACACATCAACACACAACACACAACACACAACAACAGCCACACAGCCACGCATCCAATCCGCCTGTGCATTCTTGTCGCATGTGTGGAGGCCAGTGAGTGCTGTCTGTGCATCGCGTCGCCTCACCGTGACGAACAGGTAGAGCTGATACCCTGGCGAAACCGCCATTCTTGTCCGCGGCTCTGCGGAACCGTGTCAAAGTCTTTCGGACCCTTGAACCGCTGGAAAATGGTCTCTCTCACTGAATGGCTGTGCCTGTGCTGTCGCTATGCCTCACGATTTAAGGATGGAAGAAGACACCGAATCCGCATACGCGCGTTTTACTAACCCTGAGCCCGAACGCCAAACCCTGCGGTCCCACTACGACCATCGAATCCACGAAAATCTTGCGGCTCCATTCATCCATCGGCCACACGAAAGATGCCATTGGCTGTGTATGGCTTGTCGCCATCCATTGCAAAACCAGAAACACTCTCATATATCAGCCCATTCACTGCGGCCCCATATGTGCCTATCTTCACGAAAACCACTGGCAATGGCCGGCGGAAAAAAGGCCTACGGGCTGCACTGCACAGCAGGGCTAGAAGGGCTTGGAGGGCTCGAAATCCCCGCTCAGGGTGGAGGAGGCCTGAGAGCCGATTGACAAACACACGAAATCATGCAACGACGGTGTGCAGTGCAGGCAGCCCATTCTCTGGCTCACCCGAGGAAAGCGACGGGCTTCTCGACGCTGCAGCCGCCAGCCGCAAAGGACGTGTACCTGCACACAACCAACAAGCCACACGCAGAGGCATACAGCCAAGGAGAGAAGCTTTCTCTGTTGTGTGGCGATTGATTTGATGTGTGTGCGGAGTGCAGTCACCTCATTGAGTGTGGGAAGGGCAGAGTGTATGTGGATGCCTCGTCCAGCTCTCTCAGCTGGTCCTTGGTCAGTTTGAAGTCCAACGCTGCACACATAGCAGTAGGGGCGGGGAGGGGCGGTGTGGTGTGCATGGTGTCTGTCTGTCTGCCTGTTTGTCTGTACGGCTGACTGACCTCCCAGGTTGTCCTCCAGCTGTTGGACGGTGCGTGCGCCGATCAGGGGGGATGTACAGGCACGGCAGGTCCAGTTGATGGCCACCTGCACCCACACAGACATGACCGACCGATGCCGGTACCTCAATGTGTGTGATTGTCTACCTGTGCTGGCGTCTTGCCGATTTCCTTGGCGACCTTCTCGACCGTAGACAGGATCTTCCAGTTCTGCTCCTCCTTCACCTGCACACACA